CGGGTGGCGGGACCCGCTGCGCTGCTGCTGCTCCTGCCCGTCCCTGCTGCCGTGCTCCTTAGTGCCCAGGGGTTCTCGCAAGCAGCTGGATTGCTCCCTGTGCCTTTGTTCCTTTGCCTGTTCTCACCCTGCTGGGATGGATCCAGGCAGCCTCCCTCCTTTGCTCCTGGAGGGGGGGGTGTCGCTGGCCGTGCCCGGGTGCGCCCTGCGCTGCGGGACGGGCTGCTGGGGGCCGGGGGGCTGGCCCTGCATGGGGCCGTGCAGGCTGCTGTGGAGCACTGGCTGAAGGGAAAACGTGCTGGAAAGAGGAGGAAATAAAGTAACTCAGCCTGGGAGAGCTGGGGAGCGAGTGGGAGCGCTAGAAGCAGCAGCAGAGAGTGTCTTGTGTCCATTTTTAGGAAGCGCTTAACAGGAGGTGTTGATGTCCTCTTCTCAAGGTTACTTACACGGAAGAAATGCTTTTCACCACGTTATAGCTGGGGAGAACATGGCAAAGGGCACCCACCTGACACGCCTGTGTGCAGTGTGGTCTGAGGGAACAGCTGTGTCCTTGGGGTGGGCAGGTCACACCTGTGTCCTTGGGGTGGGCAGGTCACGCATTCTGGGTACTCAGACTCTGTCACCTCTGTGGCAGACAGGGCTATCGTGGGTGGCAGTGGAAGCCTCTCCTTTCCTGGCACTTATAAAGCAGAGCTTGTGTCCTGGTGATCAGCTTCCATGGTCACAGGGTTAATCAGAGCCAGCTTGCAAACCCAGAAGCCCTGACCTGCAGCCTGAACTCTTGCTGGTGCTTCCTCTGTGACCTTTTTCCCTGGCAAAGAGTTGTCACTTCTTTTTCCCTTCTCCTCTCAAACTGGTCTCTCTGTTACTGCAGGTCTTCTTAAGATGAAAGGATGAAAATTTGCAACTGGGAAGTTGCTGTCACTGTCCTCAGCTTCATCTTAACTTCTGGAGTCCCAGCTGATGCCTTTGAGAGCCTGCAGGAGTGTCCACTGTCCCCTCCCATGATTTAGACAGCAGCTTGGAGCATGTGTCACTGTAAGCTGCAGGTGGCTGTAGATGGGGCACAGTCCCTTTCCCAGTCCATGCAAAGGGGTTCATTGCACAATGGAGCTGCCTCTATAAAATGACCCTGAATCTCGATCCCCTCCCAGCCCGAGGGGCTTTCCTTGCTGAGCAGCACATCCCTGGGCTCCCTCATGCCAGATCAGTCCCTTCCCTCCCCAGTGTCACCTCCTCCCCTGTGCCTGACCCTCTCTGTCCCTCTTTGCATGCTGTGGTTCCAGAGCGGGATGGTCGCCCACCGAAGCTGCAATGTCGTCCCTGACGACTTCCAGTGAGGGAGAGAGCTCCACTCCCAGGTTTGTTGTCGGTTCCAGGGATGATGAGACAGACATTCTGGAATCAAACATGAAGACAGACGAAACCGATTTCTTTGAAGATGACGAAGAGGAGGAGTCGGTAAGGAGGCGGGGCGTTCTGGGCGGGAGCACCTCTACAGAATTCCTGGGTCTCGGCCAGGGTGTGTGTGGCTGCTGCTGAGGCTGCAGGCAGTCAGGACTTGAGGGGACGTGGCACCAGGCTGTGGCACAGCCGTGGGGACAGCAGTGCTGTTCTGCACATGGGACTTGAATGGTGCAGGGACATGGCCACTAGCTGTGCAAATCCTGGGTCCTTGCACCAGTGGTCATCTCCATTGCCTCTGTACCCTCATTCTCCACTCCCAAGTGGGTTGTGGACCTGGGAGCCCACGTGGTCTTCCTTCAGACCCACAGAGTGTTGTGCATCTTGATACTCAGTGAGGAGCTTGTTTATTAGGTGTGGTGAAGGATTTGGAAACCCTTTCACTTCCCAGATGTTTTTGCTGTGGAACCATAGCTTTGCAAGTCAATGCAGTAACTTCTAAAGTCTCAGCTCACAGTTTGAAGCCAGAATTGTCTGTGCTGGGTAACCCACAGTCCTGTGTGTATCACTTCAGGTGATCTCACTGCATTTAATCTTGCCTGGGCCGGAATTAATCTCTCAGGAAAACATCCAGTCTGGGGTTTCTAGATGGTGATGGGAAGTCCACCACAGACCTTCACCCCTTCCTCTGGTACAGTTACCAGTGCTTTTTGAACATTCACCTTCTCTCTTGAGCTCCTCAACTTAACTGTGTCCCACTGAATCTTCTTGTGCTTTTATCAGATATATAGAAGAACACTTGGTACTGTTTCTCATCTACTCATAGCTACTTACTATTGTAATCTCCCCTTCATTTTTTCTCAGATAAGACAAATAGACTGAGCTTCTGTTTTTTTTTTTTTTCTTTTGCTATAAATCATTTTCAGCTCTTCTCTGAGCCTGCTTAATTCCACCAGCTGTCCTGGTGAGTTACGGGCTTGAGAACATGACGCGGGATTCCAGTCCCTGCTGCTTTTTCAGGTGCCAGATATTTCTGACCTTGGCATTATTGTCCAGTAGAAAGAGAAGGTACATGCTGCCTGGCAAAGAAGTGGTTGTTTTGGGCTGCTCCTTCATGATGTCCCCTAGCAGACTCTGAGTGGGAGCTGGAAGTGTGTATGGGTTTGAATCTAGCAGGACCTGTCAGTGCATCAGATTGTTTGTTCTGCCTTCCTACACTGTTACAGTTTAAATTCAGTGAAGTACTGGACCCTGTGCTCAACTGAGCTCTGTCTTCCCTCAGCCACCTGAACGGCAGATTGTGGTTGGAATTTGTGCCATGACTAAAAAGTCCAAGTCAAAGCCCATGACACAGATCCTGGAGCGTCTGTGCAAGTTTGAGTACATCACAGTGGTGATTATGGGGGAAGATGTTATTCTGAATGAACCAGTGGAGAACTGGCCCTCCTGTGACTGCCTGATATCCTTCCACTCCAAAGGTAAAAACGCTGTGCCAGACCTGACCCTGCATGAGATCTGGGCCAGGGAGCTTCCACTCATTCTTCCCCTGCTCACTGGGTTGCAGGATTCCCCCTGGATAAAGCAGTTGCTTATGCCAAGCTGTGCAAGCCATTTCTGATTAACGACCTTGATATGCAGTATTACATCCAGGACAGGTAGGTGTCTGTGATCCCCTAAAGCCCCTTCCCTCTTCCTTAGCCCCATTCCCCTCCTCAGCTGTGCAAGCTTTGTCTTCTTAACCACAAGCCAAGGAGTCAGCTGGGGAGGAAGGGGGCCTTAGCAGTGGCTTTTAGGGGTTGCTCCCCCCAAGACATGGAGGGGAATAGAATTGGGGGTAAAACCATTGAGATTTGGCATATTTTGTTTTCTGGTGCAGATATCTTGTAAGGAATGGCTAGATGAAGTAGGAAGTGGAAGAGGTCTCACGGAATGGGACTGTCACCACTGAGACTAGTCTGTGGGCAGGAGAGCCAAGTAGTGGGCTGGGGTTCTGGGGCTGAAAGTAGGAGCAAGGCCAGGTCAGAGCTGAGGAGGGTATGTTGGTCAGACACTTGAAAAGGCTGCTCAGTCAGGTCCTGGTAGAGACCACCAGCAGTTGAGTCCTGCAGTGCTTGCAGCCAGGCTGCTCTGGCCACCTCTGGGCAGGACTTCTGGCAGATCCCAGGCCTCCCACCACATCTCTGGGTTGTGATCAGTGCTCCTGTGTGTGCTCACAGGCACCCCCAGGTGTAGCTCTAGAGGAAGCATCATGGTTTCCCACTGGTACAGGATGAAAAGAGGCTCTGCTGCGTCTGCCTGGCCTGGAGCTCAGGCAGCTTAGTGTGACAGGGGCACCTCCTGAGAGGGCAGGGGGTGGGTGGCATGTGCTGGGTGTGTTGCTGTGAATGGAGCATGTGCTAATAAATGAGCATCCATGTTTAGGCCAAGCAGACATTTACACTGGGACATATGCCCAGAGCAGGACTGAGTTGTGCCCCATAGCCTGTACGTCTTACCTGGAGAGCGTGAGCTGAGATGCATTTGCACTCTGTCTTGAGGCTTTTTTGTGTCCATCTGACTTTGTTCTTCAGCAGTGGGAGTGAAGCCTTTCTCTTGGCATGTAGAGGACCTTCTATACTGTTCAGACACTGCTTGTGTCCTCTGCAGGCGTGAGGTGTATCGGATCCTTCAGGAAGAGGGAATAGACTTGCCTCGTTATGCTGTGCTCAATCGAGACCCTGATAGACCAGAAGGTCAGTGCCCAGGCTCTGCTGAAAGCCATTTTCACACACTGCACTATTTAGGATATTCTGCAGAGAACAGGTACAGATAATTAGCTTGAAGAGGCTTCATTCACACGTTGGTTGTTTCTTATGGACAAAGGTCCCAGCTGCAAAACTGGCTGACTGGCCAGGGCTGAAGGGCTTTGGCTCTGCCCTGGGGCTCTCACTGCTTCCCAACACTCTGCTGCTGTGCTTTGTCTCCAGAGTGCAACTTGGTGGAAGGAGAGGACCACGTGGAGGTGAATGGAGCTGTCTTCCCAAAGCCATTTGTAGAGAAGCCAGTCAGTGCTGAGGACCACAACGTGTATATCTACTACCCCACGTCCGCGGGTGGGGGCAGCCAGCGGCTCTTCAGGAAGGTGAGGAGGGGAACTCTGGATCTGGAATGAACAGATCTTTGGCTCTGAGTGTCAGGAGGGAGTGTTGGGTCAGGGGAAGGGAGGGTTTGTGTTGGGGAAATCTAGACCTTAGAACTTTCAGTTCAATCCCATCTACCTGGGAATTGCAGGACATGGTAGTGGTGGTGCTGATGTTGCCTTCCCCAGCAGTCATGGAGGACTGTGTCCCCTGCTGA